GGCTTTTGATCTTAAAGTACATGAATAATGGGGGCTTTAGATCTAAAAATTTATGAGGGGTGGGGGACGAATTGGTCTCAAAGTACATAAAAGAGTCTTATTTATATCAAAGTATAGGGAAGGGATTTATATATCGTTCAAAAACATGAGAAATGGATAGTTGTATCAAATAAATTAAAGGATAAGACTATAAGTTCTAACCTGCATGATCAGGGTAGGATACAACTGAACCGAACAGAAGAACTGATAAAGTAACAAAGCTAAAACATTTTTATAATTAATAATTTTGTAATAATTAACCTCAGGCTTGGGAAACCAGTTTTTTCTACAAATCTTAACTTTCCCTAACAAAAAAGACCCACTCAATTATTAGAATTTTAAAACTAAGCTAAAAATTTGTGAATCTTTAATTCAACAATCAATAATTGAGGCAAATCGGCCAAGGATTCATGAGTTATGATCGGACGTACAAAGAATTTCTACTTTGAACATATGAATTTTTTTTCATTACTAAAAAATTTTAATTTTAAGAACTTCTCTGAGAATAGAAAACGGTCGGTTTTAACGTATATTCGTTTTGTCTTGTTTTTCATGGCGTTTGAATCGTTTTTGTCTGCTTGTATTTTCTGTTCGAAGTGGACAAAATGTAAGAAAGCAAAGGCTGAGAAAAAAATATTTGAAAAAAAAGGTTTTCTTACATTTTGCCATATTTGGATCATGAAAGAAAATATAGACAAAAAACTATGGAAAAACTAACCCAAAACGAACCTGGAACAACGAACCAAATACCTTTAATACCTGTTAAGGCCTATCATTGTGTTTGTGTGTAAAGATGGAACCTGTGTGTCTCTCATACAATATCATACAGGATTTATATAGATTTACTGCAGAGGGGAGCTGAATAAATTCACTTAGTTTCACTACAGGGGGGGGGGGATAGAATAAACACACCGAGTTCCCCAATATAAAGAAAATAAAAAGTTCATTTATTTTGTACTTATAAAGAAACAAAAATGGTTTATTTTTACAGAGGGAGGAGTAGAATAAAAGGTGTAGGTGAGATATATTTAGACTCTGTAATCATATGTGGACAAGGAACAATATCTCTTAGCATCCTTTCATCACATAGCCTATACTACCCTGTATTCATATCAGATCATTAATAATAATCCATGCACACCCTGTACTCTTGTCTGTGATAGGCCTTGAATACCTTGACACCCTGTTATCATATAGCAAATCTTACCTTGAAAATAGACTTAAATCCATGCACACCCTGTACTCTTATATATAATAGGCCTTGAATACCTTGACACCCTGTAATAGTATCTGAACTTTCCTTTAATTCGTGGACTCGGCCTTTAATCACATCTGGACTAGGCCTTGAATCCCTGCGCCCCCTGTAGTTGAAGAGCTGCCTTGAATCCCGGCGCACCCTGTAGTTGAAGAGCTGGTATCAGATTAGAAAGCTGTTTTACAGGTTTAAACAGAGAACTGTGGAGGGAAGGATGACATGAACAAAACCACAGTTTTCATTTTTCAGAACCACTCAACTATAGGTTCTGATGGCCGAAATCCAGATATATCTAGTTAGAAAACTAAAATAAAAAATAATTTTGTATTTTTAAAATTTGCAGATTCTGGAATTAATAGAACCCACCAAGATTATTATCTGTACCTCAAACAATAACGAAAGTTATGGTACTATTAAACATCGATCGGCCTTTCGACCGTCCTGCACCCAATCCATCCGGAAAAAAATTTGTACTATTTTTTTGGGCGAAAGTAAAAAATTATGTTGAATGGAAAAACTGTTACCAATGAGAGTAATAGAGCAAAAAAAGTGATCGAGTTGTGAGCCNTTAGGGTTAAAAATATCTGGAGTCATATAAATTTTGAAGCGATTGCTAACCAGTCCCATAGTCAAAAACAAAGATATGCAACCTAAAGGTTCAAATTATTTATTTTATAACATTCAAATATTCGGTTTACATAAGAACTATTTTGCTATATAACTGGATTGATTACAGGGACTGCAGTTGTAGTTTCATGGGGCCTTCTTTTTATCTTTTTATCGAGGGGTATGTCCAATTAATAACTAAACTCTTTAGACCTTTGTCTTATATTTGCTCGTTATATTTGCGGATTTTATAAAACTGAGACAAAGAACGTAACTTACAGAATTTCAGCCTTTATAACTTATAAGGTGTAAACCGACAATAGCTTAATCATTGTTCAGATAAAGATTGATATTGTACCTTTGTAAACCGGCCAGGCTCACTTTAAATGAGTTTTTGGTAATAAAAAAACAGTCTCTTTATAGTCAAGGAATTATTAGTGTACAAAATATTCCATCCCTTTCTTCAACACTTTTTATAACATTATGTTTGGTGAGAATCAATAATTGGGATATCAGGAAATATTTTGAAATAATATGTGCATATGGCTCACAAAATGTAATAATAGCGTTGTTAATTTAATTTCCGGGTTGTGAATCGTGACTCCTTATTCTTTCATTTATGATTTAGTTTAGATTTGCTAAAAAACACAAAACTTAAAAAATTAAATTTGAACATATTTCACAAAAGAAATTTGTCAATAAATCAATGCTAAAATCGATTATTTCGTTTTCATTATTATATTGAATTTCTAATTTTCTTTGAATTTATTCGCAGATATCTTCAAATACTTTAAATGTCGTCTTTTCAATAATAATCATAGAAAATTTGCGAACGTCTTTGTGAATAACGATAAACTAGAATAATGAGATAATAGAAACTAATAATTGAACAAGATTACTTATTTTCGATGATAAGATTAATTTTTATTTTCTCAAAATGTTCCTATACATGACGTCTGTAGTTTATAGAATATTTTTACATTTTATTTTGAAAGTGTATCCACCCCCAAATCAGGAGTTTTGAACGTCGATTTTGCGCTCAAACTCAGGATTTACAGACTTTTAAAAAGTGAAATATGTCTCAAATGAATACTACAGAAGTTTTCCACAACACTGCGTCCTCAGTTCAACTACCTTACATAGCCGGTCACTCCCTTTAAAGATAAATCACATATGAACTGGAATGCAGAGTGCACAGATTAAAGGATTTATAAATTCTAACTGCACAAAATCCATTTTAAGATTTGCATCTATAAACTATGCACAAGAAAAGCAGAGAAAATAGTTTCAAAATTTCAGTATATTTAAAATTTGCTTTTAAGGACCTTTAAAGAGTATCGGAATACTTTAATGGATATCGGCAAATGTTAAAACATTGGATTAGATGTCTAACAATAAATACAATAAATTAAGACAAAGACATAATTTAAACAAGGAACATATGTAAATATAGAATATCACTTGTTTGTCAGTTCATAAAAAAACAAATTATATCATTAAATTCATAATAGTTAAAATCGTTTTTCTAACTGTTTGATCTTAGATCTAGCAGTTGATAAATGAGAGGTATTTTCCAATTATAATCATCTGGTAACTTTGAAAAGTTAAATTTTGTTTGACAAAATTTTTGGACAAATTGTCCACTAACACATTACAATCATCTGCAATTGTATTTATATTTTTACATAAAACTGTTCTTTATTCATTTTTGAACAAATTATGAAGTGAACAAATGCTTGACTTATTTGTACTGCTATTTCTTTATTTCTTTCAGAAAAGGCAACAAAATGTTAACCGGTTTTTAATATAACTTGTTATTGGGAGATTCATCAAATAGATTCCGAATAAAAATTAAATTGAAAATGTATAAATCCTACTTTAAATATATCTCTGAAAATATCCCCGTACGATATGAAGATAACAATATGGAATAATACCTTGAAACCTTTTTGTAAGATTGGCTGGATTGAAAAATGATAAAAAATTAGCATAATCCACATTAGCACATCCGTATTTGCGATCCAACCAATAGAAGAGAAAATCCGCAAAAACTTTTTACATTCCGACTGAAAGGGAATATTTGAAAAAAATACTATAACTTAAAGGGAATATTTGAAAATACTGTAAATTAAAGGGAATATTTGAAAATATTGAAACTTAAAGGGAATATTTGCAAATACTGTAACTTAAAGGGAATATTTGCAAATACTGTAACTTAAAGGGAATATTTGCAAATAATGTAACTTAAAGAGAATATTTGCAAATACTGTAACTTAAAGGGAATATTTGAAAATACTGAAACTTAAAGGGAATATTTGCAAATACTGTAACTTAAAGTGAATATTTGCAAATACTGTAACTTAAAGGGAATATTTGAAAATATTGAAACTTAAAGGGAATGTTTGCAAATACTGAAACTTTAAGTGAATATTTGAAAATACTGTAACTTAAAGGGAATATTTGAAAATATTGAAACTTAAAGGGAATATTTGCAAATACTGAAACTCTGTAAGTTAGTTTAAAGCAAATGTTTGAAAATACATATGGTTAGTGTAAAGGGAGAATTTGCAAATACTTTAAAGTTTAAAATGAATGTTTACAAATACTGTAAGTAATTTTTTATTTATTTAATTTTTTTTTTTATTTGCGAATTTGAGGCAACTCGGTCAAGGGTTTCGTACGTTATAAATAATCATACATTTAAATACACAACAGACTTTATTTTATAAACAAAGCATGGCAAGCGTACAATTTCCGAAAATTAGTGCGAATTTTTTTCCAGGGATCACAATTGGCTAAATGCGCTGAATATATATTTCCTAAATGAAAACATAAAACAGGAATTTAAACAAATTATTCAAATTATATATTTGCATAATTCTAATGAAACTTTAGAACCAACGGAGGTTAACCCTGAAGGACAACTAAAATTCAGAGCGCTTCAAGTCTGAATTTCAAAAGCCTTTCCTGTAAAATTCTGCAGTGAGGCCCATCAAGATGTGTTAAATAGGAAGACGACTGTTAGACTTAAAGGGGCATTTGGCGTAATTTTTAGTTTCCCCAATCGATTCACAGCGGACCCTTTAAAGCTTTTTTTGAGTAAGTAATAAGCAGGAAGATATTGTTTTTTTTTGTAGCTTTAAAAGTGAGCTAAAATCCGAAAGTGACCTTAAATTAGGGTTTCCAGCTAATAAAACGTATCGCAAAAATGTTCGGTCGTTGTATCCGAGGATGTTAAAAGCATTACATTTTAATAATCTTGAAAATTCACATAATAGATTTATATGACCAGAATATTTCATTGATTTTTTATGTGAATGAATGATCCCATGTCAGGCTGTGCCATCCGTTTTGTGTTTACATTACCGCCCAGAGACAGTACACTGCAGTACACCTCTGAAATAACTATAATTACATTATAATTCTTTGGTTATTCCAATGTGAACAAGATATTTCAAATTTTCAGTTTTAGAAGAAACTGTTTCTTACAGCTATCCGAGAAAATGGATTTGAGATAAACTTTCAGCTTGGATTAATAGCATATGGTCAGTTCAGCAGCTGAAAGTAGAGTTGGGCAAAGCTATTATCAAGTTTTAGATATTTTAGGATTGTTGGCTTTAAGAAACATAAAAAAACAATCTGCCGTAATTAAAATTTCTATTTTTTATCAATTTTTTTTCATGAAATTATACAAAAATCTTACTTTGAACAGAGTCAAAATTTTGTAAAGTGTAAAAAAAGCAAACTTTTTGAGGATTTTACAATTTTACTATGTGTAAAACTTTTCTGATTTTAATGGAGTCTCTTGAAACCATGAATTTTTTCAGTCCCTTTCAGCCTGAAAGGGAGTTCAAAGTGAACAAATCATGAAAATGTTCACAAATTATATGCAGTAGAGTACATTAATACAGTATGTTCCCTAGACTATCCACTTCAATTTCGAATTTTTTAAACTGTTAAACAAACTTTCTAATGAATTAGGTGAATAAAAACATCATTTG